GGGGGGCACCGGGGCTCGTGGCGGTTCCTCGGCCACGGGTGGCCTTGTACTGGCCGAGCAGCGTGGGCCTGCGCGGGGACAGGCCGCCCTCGGCGAGCCTGGGCCGGAACCGGGGCGGGAAGGAGCCGCCCCGGGAGTCTCCTCAGGCCTCCCTCGGGCAGGAGCGGGCGGCGTCCCCGGTGCTTCCCTCTGGGGTCCGGCTGTTCGGTTGTTACTTATGAAGCGACATCAGCAAGCTGCTTAAAAACGACCTCGGGACTGCAGAAGAGGATCTCAGAAGTTAATGAGGGCTAGAGTTAATTAGTGGCATGGGGCTGGGCGGAGTAGCTCTGTATATATTCAGCGTACGTGCCATCCCTTATGTACGTTGTACGCCTATAAACCTCAAGCAGGCACCAATGTGTTGCCATGAAAGAAGCATAGGTGCGCTGAGACCTCTCCCTTCTGGAGGGATGAGACGAGGTTTACTTGGGGAAGGTGCCGGCACGCGAGGCCCCGTGGCTCAGGGGAGGGGGGGGGGGATGCACAGCAGGGACCCCGAGTTTCTTTTCCCAGAGAACAGCTCATGTGGAATGACACTGCTTTTCAAAGCCCGTCCCAGTGAGCCATCTGAACACCATGGCCATGGGGTGCGAAGAGGAACTGGAGGGTGACAGCTCATACCACGAAGAGCCGAGTGGCAGCAGTTTCTCTCACAAAAGCTTAGCAGGGAACGAGGAATGAGCTCGGTGCACGGATAGTGGAAGGTAGAGCAGCACTGGAAGGCAGCATAAAATAACACATGGGGTATTGACCCCGTGACTGAGCCTGTCACAGAGCTCTGGGGCTTGGAAGAGGCGTCTCCAGGCAAGGCGTTCTGCACAGACCTCACCCTGCTGGAGGCTGATCGCCCCTTCCCAATCCCTCCAAACACCAGAACGTGTTCCTAACGTTGACTAAGCACACGAAAGAGTCCCAGCAAAGCCAAAACTCTGCCAAATGACCCTGGGAGGCTTGACGTGTTTGGATTGGTTTCTGCAGCCTGTTGCTGTTTTTTTCTTTAAAGCGTGTGGACACTTATCAGGAGCGACAGGGCAGGTTGGCTGCGTTCTGACATTCCTCACTACCACATTCATCAAGACAGTGCACTCAATAATCGGTCTTTTCTCATTTTTCCCTGGCATTGTAGGTGGCAGCAGGGGTGCACTGAATTGGCTTACCTTCACTGTCACCCCCCACTGCACAACCTTCTTTGCAGTTCCAGTTATTCCCGCACCCCATACAGGTGCAGATGGCAATTCCTTTATTAACTAAAGCATCCCCTCAGAATTTTGACAGAAAAGAAGCAGTCCTTCATCAAATTGGTTTGAATTTACCTTTACAGGCTGGCGTGGGGTTCTTTGTCTTCCCCTAGTTCTTGAATCAAGATCAACGATCATTGTACTAAAGCCCTCCATGGTGACTGGTGGCACTGCTGTGAATGCCTTTTTTTCAGCAATGATTTATTAAGCCTTGTAGTTAGCCTTTTATTTTTTTTTAAACTTTTTAAAACAGTGTTAATTCATGATCATAGCTCTATCATTTCATTGGTGGTTGCCTAGGGAACAATGATCATGACCTGATTACATTCAATTTGGGCAGAGAATAATCCATTCGGTAAACAAAGATACATGGTGCTTTAAAAAGTCAAACCCCACAAATACAAGAAAAACTCTATGGTGATGGGAAAAGGCAGATAGAAAATTGTGGAAAAAGACAACTTTTTAAGATTTATTTCCAAAAGCCACCAAGATAACATCACAGAAGAGAAACCCCCACCCTACTTCAGTGGCATATTGAAAGTAATAATTAGCAATAAAAAGGAAAGCTATAATAAATGGATGAAAAGGGAAATAGATAGCAATTTTCTCCACTTCATAACTGGTAATTTGCATCAGCAGTGTGGCGAGCTGGGTGCCTGCAGTTACGCTGTAGGGGATTGTGTCTGTGGGCATTGCACCTTCCGCCTGGTCTCAGCTGGGCAGGAATTTGCTCCCTCTTTCCTGCCTCGGGCATTGAAAACCAGCCTAGATTTTGGGCTGCAGAAGGGGACCAATTCCTGGAGAGCAGGATGGAGCAGATCCCAAGGTCGAGCTTTGCTGCTTTGAACCTTTAGTCTCTCAAGCCCCACGAGTGAGCGTGGGAGCCCCCAGTCCAGAGCTGCTCAGGTGCTGCTTGTGTCCCAAAAAGCTGTCAGGACATGCAGGAGGGGGGTGAGGAATTGGGGAGTGCCTGGGGCTGGTCCTGTGGCAGGTCCCTGGTTCTGGATGCTGGGGAAGTGCCACCGGGCTGGGGTGCCCAGTGCAGCTGCAGCGGGGTAAGACCAGGGTGGGGAGACCTGGGACTGTTCAAAGGCTGAGTCAGAGCAAGCAACAAGGATCTTGTCCTTGTCATCTTCAGCCAGGACCGGCCTGGGAGCATCCTGGACTTGCTGCAGCCCCAGCAAACCAACCCTCTGTGCGCTCTCCTGACCCCTTTTGAATCCATTTGCATGCTTGATCTCCACAGCAGAGGCAGCCTCCCACAGCGTGGTAATGCACGGTTTGAAAAGTGTTTCCTGTCGTTTTAAACTAGATCCAGCCCTGTGGTGTTCCTTGAAGCTCTGCTCTAGGAAATGAAAATATTCTTTGCTTTTTTCCCCTCTCAGTGACCCCTCACCAGGTCCCTTCCCCGAGGCCCTGCCAGGCTACAGCACGCACCAAATCTCTCCCCTGTGGGAGCTGCTCCGTCTCCCTGCTCGGCTGCTTCTCTGCCTCCCTGCCCTGTCCTCTGTGAGCTGCCCTAGCCGTGCTCGCACATCACCGCAATCCCAGCAGTTCCTTCCTAATGCCTTTTTCCCTTGGTTACCAATGCAGAGCGTGCAGGCGAAGCACTCGCAAGGTCTCCAGCATCTCTTTCCTGAATGATAGAGCTCATTTAGAGCCCATCACTGCATACACATAGGGTTACTTTTACATTGCCTCGAATTTAATTATATTGGATTGCATTTGATGTCTGTGTGTCTGCTCAGCCGCTTGACATCGTGCAATCCCTTTCCAGCTCTTCACAGTCAGCTTTAGATTTGACCATCAAAACACTATATAGCATCAGCAAGATCTGCTCTCTTTTATGTGTGTATTGACTAGCACAGGTCTGGCACAGATCCTGTCCGTTTTTTCCTAGCCTTGTCTCCTAACTTTTAAGCAGTTAGTTTACAAGCAAAACCTCACGGTTAATCCACCTTAACATCCTGAAGAGCTTTTGGAGAGAGATTTTGTTAAAGTTTAGCAAAAATGGTTGGATTTATATAATCTGATTCACCATTTTGTGTACCTTCCATGTAATTCTAGCAAGACTTCCCTCCTTCAACACATGCTGGAGATTGTCTCAGCATTGCATGTTTATTCATACATGTTCTAATGCCATTTTTGCTTCCATCTTTCAGCAAATGTGCCTGGTACCAAAGCCAGGTTAAAGATCCCAGTGTTTCCTGGATCCCTGCGGAGCCCTTCCTTAAAATTAGCCTGGCTTTTGCCACCTTTCTCTCCGGTGCTGGGGAGGTCAGGGACCTGCTGCCTGCGTCCTGCTGCAGGTGCAGGCTCTGGCCCAAGCATGCGCCAGCCCAGTCCCCCACCAATTGCAGTGGGTTTCCAGCAGGCTTCCTGCTTCTGATGGGTTTTGCAAAAATATGCTGGTGTTAATTTTTATGTGGTAAGCAAATTGCACTCGAAATATATTTTCATCTGTGTGAATGTGGTTTTTAA